ATAAAATTGTTTTATCATTAACCACTTTTGATGTTTTTATACTGCAAGGAGGGAAAATATATCTACTAAACAGCAATAAAACAATAACAGTGTTGTTTAAACACAATACTTTTCTAAGCTAGTAACATGATTTCAGAACATGTTTAGATGATTTGTATTTACATTTCTGCCAACCTACACTGACTTGAAATCCAGCCCCTGCCCCACGCACACACCCTGCTCAAACCAACAGCCTCCCCCCCATCACAACCAACAGAAAAGGTCTGGGCAGGGGCCTGAAAATGCAACATCTGCCATAATTGGCCCACAGACACAGTTTCTTTTGTGGCTCAGTAGGTCAAAGCTGGCTAGGTAAACAACTGCTGGGAGTGGCTTAAGAGTCAGACTAGCGAATCCAAGCACAAAGCCCCGCATTACGGTTAGTGACCCAGGATGTCCTTTTCAGCTCCTATGAATCTAAACTAATGCCCACAAAAAGACTAGCTGTCAAGTGGTCATTATTTTTAATGAGCACCAAGATGCTGACTTCAATGCACTGAAAACCAAAACAACAGATCATATCCGAAGTCCTGCATAAGACAGACCCACTTCACTTCTTACAGAATTTCCAAGTGTGTACAGCTTTAAAAAAGCAAAACAAAAAAACCAGCCACTAAGTTCCACACCTCTGTGGCAGGATGTCCTCTGGTTTCCAGGAGCTTCAGCCCAAATCCAGACAGCCAACTCTGCCTTGGCAGTCAATAAACACATGGACATATGGAAGCTATTCTTCTCTCCTTATAAACCCAGGGGTGCGGCGGGGAATGTCATGTTCTGGGTGTGTGCGTGGTACAGTCCATCTATCCATCATCCATAAACAAGCTGAATATTTATTGGTGCTGAACTATTATTATAACGAAGTGAACCAGAGGCAGGGCTGTGGAGCTGTTTGTGAGACAAAGCAGAGGGGGCTTTAGGAGGCTTTTTAAAAAGGATTGAACAAATTAATGGAGGATAAGTCTATCAACAGCTCTTAGTCATGATAGCTAAATGGAATTTCCTTGGTTAGGGGCTGCCTCTCAATAACAAATGCTGAGGGAGGGATGTTGCCTTCGGGCCCTGTAGTAAGATATCCAGAAGCAGCGGGCTGGCCATCTTTAGAAACACAGTAAGAATGAGGTACGTGTCGTAGAGGCACGCTGGACTCCCACGGATTGGTCTGCCATTTTATTTGAATTGGGTTTAATCTGGTTTTAAATTGTATGTTTTAACATTGTTATTATGCTACTCTTTCTTGTGACAGTGTTGTGAAAAGACTGTTGTGACTGCTCTGAGCACGCTTGTGGCGGAGGGCAGGATAGAAATCAAATAAATAAATAAATAAAATGTTAGAACAACACTGGGAGAGACCAGTGGTCCATGTAGTTCAGCATCCTGTTTCACACAACAGACAACCAAATACCCCAGCAGGCCCACAAGCAAGGTCACCAAGGCCAAAGCCTTTCTTGTTGCTGTTCCTAGCAACAGAAATTCAGAGTTACACTACCTCTGAACATGGAAGTTCTGTTTAGGCAGATCTGCCCTCCACAAATTTTTCTAATCTTCCTATAAAGCTAGTGCCCTGGTAACTATGCTGGACTGGATGGGCCATTGGCCTGATCCAACATTGGCTTCTCTTATGTTCTTATCTAGTGGCAGTAATCTCTGTGTGAAAGCTATGTGTTTTGTGAAGTACTTTCGTCTGTCCTGTACCTACTGCCCATCAATAGAATTTGAGGGCACTCAGCTGAATTATTACAAGAGAGGGAGGAAAAGTTCTGTCAGCTTCCTCCACGCAATACACAGTGCTATACATCTCTATAACCTCCCCCACTGGTTGTCTTTTTTCCAAATTTTACTGCCACCAATTGCTTGGACTTTCCTAGGAGAGAATATACTCCAACTCCTTCATCATTTTGCTTTCCCTTTTACCTACTTTACCCAGCACTAGATTACATGGACTTTTTGTCCAGTCCAGCTGGTTCTTTTATGTTCTCATGTTCATCTTTTCTCCTGGAAACTTTACATAGCTGGGTCTTACTGATGCTGATTACCACATTCTAGGTGGTCAAAGGCTGCAATACGATTGGCTGCCATTGCCTAGTTCAAGTGTTACAAAATTCCTACATGAAAAGCACTTAGATATAGGAATTAGCATGCCATTAGTGTAGCTCGCTAACTGAATGAATACGCGTGCACTGTCCATACAACAGAAATCTCTGCTGACGCTTCTTGCTGCAGCACCTCATGTCCCACTACTTTTCCAATAGTCCCATGAATCTCAGAAGCAACTTCTCAGAGACTACTGGGAGCTACAGAGGAATAGATCCATTCTGTGAACTTGTTCCATTCACAGTTAATAGGGTCCCACCACAAATTTTCCCAGCATGCACATGGCAAAAAATACACATACTTGTGTATTTCTATACCTATAGATCTATGCATAGATTGTCCCCTAATTCCTTCATAAATCAGCGACCAGCAACATTGTCAAAACAAGGACAAGCAAGAACAAAGGAGTGAATCCTCAAAGTCAAAATGGCTTGCTTTAATTAACATAATAATGTCCTGCTTTTCTCATTCTTATCACACATGTGTTGAGCATGCTGCGAGAGTCAAAAGCACAAAAAGCCAACAGACCAACATTATAGCCAGTCCATGAGAAGAAGATAGAAAGCCAGAATCAGGGAACTGAGAAGTTAAAATGGGAGCTACTCTTCTTTTCATTGTTCAGGTGTCTCCAGCTGACAGGAGACAGCTTGCAGACTGAGTAGCAGAAGCTGAATTAGATGAGATGAAAATGGTGAGAGAAAGCAATTGTTTCCCATGACACACACACTCTTTTCTCTTGCCATCTCTAATCAAATAGGTTTTGGAGGCACTATGGGACAGGTATGCGACAAATATGTACAGCACACAGGAATGTCTCTTTCAAACCCCCTTCAGCTCTCAACTTCCTCCACTCCAAAACTGGAAACCAGAGGTACTTGGGAGAGAAGAATTATGCCTGAGAAATTCGTCTAAAATGCAGATATTACAAAAGCAAAGAAGAGACAGAAGACAATTGAGCATTCCATGGAGAAACATAAGAGGAAAACCCTGGCTGTGGATGGGAGGCCGGGCCAATATCAGGATGTGGTGCAGTGGGTGACCTCCTGAAGGCTTCCTGAAGGTTCCCTTTTGACTGGGAATCTCCCACTTCCCAGTGGGAAAAGTGTCCGGCAACAGTAGAGGAAATGGAGCTATCCTCATTCTGCCTTCTTCAGGCACCCTTCCCAAGCAGCCATCTCCCACTTTCTGAAAAGGAAATGAAGCAGCAACTCTGTCATGCTCTTTTTGGATTCAATGGTACTGATGAGGCTAAAAGGAACTTAATAAAGGAGCACTCTGTTCTGTCCAAGTGGCCAAGGAGAAAGGAGCCATGATGGAGGGGCCCATGGACACCCTGTGGCCAGTGCTGCCTCCATTTCATATCTTCAGGAGTGCTGTGTCTCATGCCCACACATTCACAACAGTGATATTATAATGTATTGTTTACTGTTTCAACACATCACCATAGCAACCATCAACAATAAAAACGCATGATGAGATAAAGAGAACTTTGGGCAGCATTTGTAGAGTTCAGAAAACTGCTATCAATGTACTTTCCTTTCACACTAATAAGTAGGAACAGAAGCATAGAAAGTAAATAACATATTCCATTACAACTTTGCAATGCTTCCAATAATTAACCTTAACATACTTCTTCCTCAACTTTTGAGCAGGCACTACAATCTGCAAATTTAATATGATTTGGTGGTAAAATATAATGGTTAATGGTGACATTACTGTAAAAATATATACAGGTTCCAAGCACACTGAGACAAGGTGCTTATTGTATCATGCTCTGTTGAAAAGCTCCTCACTCCATGGGTCTAAGGACCTTCATGAACATTAAAACCCTGACCATGCTGTTGTGGAGAGTAGGGTTGCCAGCTGGTCAGGAAGTGACACTGTAAGTTGTTATAGCATCTTGATGTCACTTCCGGCCCTGAAACAGGAAGTGACATCCTGGCATCAGTAATACAGTTTCTCTCCTGCTGAGTCACTGAGTGAGGGTGCAGGACAGGGAGTATTGCTGAGAGGCCCCCTCCAAATCCAAGTAAGTGGCAACCCTGAATGGAGGGAAGGGAAGTGATGTACATTCGCCTTCAAAATGGAAACAACAATGGTTGCCATCCTAAAGTGGCCTGTACATACTTAGAAGAATGGTACAACATACACTCTGAGGAAATTTAGGCCCTTCAGTGGTGGGGTTCCTACACCAGTGTACACGTGTTATGGGAAACGTCATGTGTTCTGAGACTTACAGATTCAGAGAAACACCAACCATTTCAGTGAGATTACTCCCACTACTATATGAATTTTTGTATCTGAAATTATTTTCCCTGACCTGGATGGCCCACGCTAGCCCAATCTCCTGCCCTGAGCCTGCTTGTGGGGAGGGTGGGATACAAGTCTAAACAAATAAATAAATCAGATCTTGGCAGCTTAAGCCGGGTCAGCCCTGGTTAGTACTTGGAGGGGAGACCTCCAAGGAAGTCTAGGGTCTCTACACAGAGGCAGGCAATGGCAAACCACCTCTGAACATCTCTTGAAAACCCTACAGGGTTGCCATTGATGGAACCTTCCACGACCACTGCATTTGAAATCGTGGACAGTGTTCAAAACACACATATGCTGAACTCAGCTAATGTGATTCTGTGTAGGGTTGCAGTGACTTAGAACTATAAGGTAGAGAACACAAAATATTTGAACAGTTAGCAGTTGAGGTTAGATTGCAGTGTTTTGCCTGTGCATTTCATGCTGCACTAGGAAGCAACCCAATTAAGTAGCAACTAAGTTTGTTGGCTATTTTCTATTTCAACTATGTAATGTCAAAGTCTAAAGGCTTCATTTGCTACTGTCTTGTTTTGGTCAGGTAGGGGAGAATTTAGACTTACCTATTCCATGTGAAGGTGACTGTACACTACTGTACTTAATAGGCCAAGACAATTTACAGATTGGCTTCTGGAAATCATTTCTTTGAGTGCTTTGCTTGTCATAAGGTGGTTTAGGATGATGCACTAAGGGTTCACTACACGGCCACCAATGATCCTTTACAGACAAAGAAATAATTGTGTTGGTCAACACCAAATCAACAGAGATATACTTATGTAGCTGCCTTATACCAAGTTAGGTCATTGATACATCTAGCTCAGTTCATCTAGCAGTAGCCCACCAGCATCTTGGGCAGATAATGGTTTTTCCCCAAATCTGCTACCTGAGATCTTTTTAGCAAGAGATGCCAGAGGCTGAACCTAGGACCATGTGCTTATAATCATGTTCACTACCGTTGGGGCACAGCTCTAGCCCTTCTCTGCTGTTTCAACAAAGATCTCTCATGATACATGTAAATTATGTTGGCTCAATTATTTATCCTCTTCTCAGCTTTGTAATGTATATAACCAACCCTCACCTCTTTGGATTTTGTGTCTTCTGTGTCCACATAACAGATTGGTTTATTTAAAAACTTGGCATTGGTCTTGATGAACTTGACATGTTGTGGTTGAGGGTTATTGCGCCACTCAAGTGGATGGTAGTGCTCTTGTTTCCTTGAAGTGTACTCCTCCTGGAACTTCTCTAAGATGTTATTCCTTTCTGGGAGCTCAAGGTTAAATATTCTGAATGTGTCTACACTGGAAAATACAAGTAGCCACAAGGATAATTCATTTCCTTGGACAGGTATGGGCATTCCCCCTTATTTTTATTTTTTTAATTCTATGGTGTTTTCCCAAACATTTTGTTTGAAGCAGATAACAACTGATCAATAAATAAACAAATAAACAACAGTATAAATTTAATAAAACAGCAGCAAAATAACACAAGACATAGTCAGGCAGTGCACTACAGATAGGTGACCACAGAAAGGAAGTTAAACAAAAACATAAAAAACCTTTGCCCAAAGTCTAAACTTAATTTACATTATTTATAGTCCACCTTTCCCATTGAGATTCAAAGCATATTACACAAAGTAAATCAATACAATCAGTAGGATGATACATCTAATAAGCAATGTAATAGGACTAGGAACTGCAGAAATGTGAAACGGAGTTGGCATCTGAACTAAGCAAAAGTATTAAACCTGACGGGGTAAACAATGCAGAACATGGTATAACATCAGTCAAACCACAGCACATTTTCCTGGGCCATTCGGTTACGATGTAGCCTTATTTTCCTTCCTATGACCTCCTGAACAATTCTCATAGTTTATGAAATGCCAGAAGCGTGGAAGCCTTCCTGACCTTCTCAAGCACACCATTCCACAGGGTATGGGCCACTACAGAAAAGACATATATACTGGCAGCCGTTGATCTTGTAGGGTTGCACCTGCAGAAGGCCCTGTCCAGATAAGCAAAGTTGTCACAGTGGTCTTGCAGGTTCGAGAGTCCAAGGTCAATAAAGGTCTTTGCATGTGACAGCCAATGGCTTGGATTGAGCTCAGCTACTGATGGGCAGCCAATGGACTGACTGCAGAATGGGTGTAAAATGCATGCTCCACCTAGCTCTCAATAGCTCTGCACTAACTGAAATCTCCAAATTGATTCAGAGGGGAGACATAAGAAGAGTGCATTACAGTAGGATAGACTCAATGTTACTGTGGCCTTGATCCAGGTGGCCAGATTGGCTGAGCCAAGGTACATGGTCATCTTCCAGGCTAAATTAAGTTGGACGAAAGCATTTTTTTTTGGTGGCTGCACTAACTTGCTTCTCCAACAGTAATGGTGGATCTAGTATAAACCCTAGGCTCTTAACCAAGTCAGCTGAACCCTATCAAAAAAGGGAAGCACAATATAATTTAAGACCAACCAGCATCACTTCCATCTTTTCTGGGTCCAGTTTGTTCTCTTTTAGCCATTTAACCACAGCACTCAGTGCTTCAAGACCTCTACTGCACATTCAGGAATTTAGATAGAGAGACATAGAGCTGGGTGTCATCAGCATATTGCTGACAGTGACATTCAATTCCAAAGCTACTCAGGGCTGGCCCGAGGTGTTTCTGCGCCCTAGGTGAGGCACAGATGCCAACCTCCCGGTGGGGCCTGGACACGTTGGGGGGGGGGAACAAAGCTTCCCAAAAGCTGCAGAAGCGCGAGTTGCAGCAGCGCTGAGCCCCCTGCCTGCACCTTCTACCATAACACCTTTCTCTCCTCCCCTCCCTCCCCCTGCCACCACCACCGCACTCACTGGCCTTACCAGGCCGGGCGCTCACTTCCTCCTGCCTGCCTTCAATCACCGCCTTCCTGCCTTCACCGCCGCCGCCGGGGAGCTCCCAGCAGCTGCAGCCTCCTCCATGCAGCTCTGACCCGTTGCAGCAGCAGCGCCGCCGGCTCCCCCATGGCCAGGCGTGCCGAAGCCACAACTGCCCCACTGCAGAGAAGTCGCCCAGAAGGGCCAGGCCACCTCTCCCCTGCCCAGCCATGGGGAAGCTGCTGCGGCAGCCGGCAGCGCTCGGGGACAGCCCGGGGCGGGGGATGCGAGGCTGGCTGGGGATGCGGCTGCTTCAGCGGCAGAGCAGGGGAGGTGAACGGCGGCGTGCTTCGGCGGCGTGCGGGCTTTTTTGGGAAGGAGGCAAACTTTGGCACCCCATCCAGGGCCTGGTGCTCTAGGCGAATGCCTAGCTCGCGTAGCAGGTGAGCCGGCCCTGAAGCTACTAATGCTTTCTCCTAAAGGCTTTACAGAGAGGTTGATTAATGTGGGGGATAAGATTGTGCCCTGTGGAACCCCACAGGACAGCTCCCCACACTGAAGATAACTGATCCCTAATGGCCACCCTCTGAATTCAATCCATGAGAAACAAGTTAAACCAGTTCAAGTTACATCCCCTGGTACCTACTTCTGCTTCCAAATGCCTCAACAAGATGGCATGATCTACTGTATCATAGGCTGCAGATAAATCAAGCAGGAATAACAAAGAAGCATGGCCTTTGTCTACATTCAGACACAGGTCATCAACTAAAGCCACCAGGGTTATCTCTCTCTCATAGCCTGACCTGAAAAGAGACGGAAAAAGTCTCAGGGGAAGGAGAATCCCCTAAAATGAAGAGCTGTGGATGAACAAGCTCTATCCTTGCAGATTTGGGGTGGGGAGGTCCAGAGAAGATCCTCAGAAATCAAAGGAGGGTTTAGGGCTCAAACAGCACTTGCATTATATACGGAAAACCCAGGTTCAGCACCTGGTATTCCCAGTTAAAGAATAACAAGACCCAAATGCTTGTGCCAGTGTTTCCTCTAAACTGAGCTAGTGTTAGCTAGCTCACAGTTTTTTAGCCTCCAGCTCACAGATTTTCATCTTAGCTCAGGAAGGATGGCTCCAGAGCAAACTAATTTATGCAGTAGCCAAATCGCTCACGCACAACTTTAATGCCAGTAGCTCACCAAGTAGAATTTTTGCTTATGACTCCAAAGCTTAGAGGGAGTATCTGTTTCGCCTGGCAAAATGCTGAGCTACATGGACCAAGAGTCTGAGTTGGTATAAGGCACCTTCATATGTTTTTTAAAAAAGAAAGATATTTATGAATGGCCAGATTCATAATTAAGGGATCAGGATATAGTTTTAAAGCATATGAAATTTAGTTGAAGACTTTTCCATTATGGATTTCTTAGAAACACTAGAGCCAGTTTGGTGTATTGGTTAAGTGCACGGACTCTAATCTGGGAGAACGGGGTTTGATTCCCCACTCCTCCACTTACACCTGGCTGGATGACTTTGGGCAAGCCGTAGCTCTGATAAGAGCTGTTCTTGAAAAACAGCAGTTTCTGTCAAGAGCTCTCTGAGCCCCGCCTACCTCACAGGGTATCTGTTGTGGGGAGGGGAAGGGAAAGGAGTTTGTAAGCCGCTCTGAGACACCTTTGGGTAGTGAAGGGCGGGGAATAAATCCAATCTCTTCTTCTTCGTCTTCTTCTTCCAACCCATTAACCAAGTAAGGATTTAGTTGATTAATTGATGGAGGGTGTCTTTTAATTTTTTAAAAATTTAGTAGATTTTAAAAACTATTTTAGTAACATAAAAAAGAATCTCTGTATTACAATTCAACAAGGAATAGAATGTAAACAGTGTGTATGTGTGTGTGAAGTGCCATCAAATCGTTTCCAACGTATGGTGACCCTATAAATTAATGTCCTCCCAGACATCCTATTTTTAACAGCCATTCGCAGGTCCTGCAAACTGAGGGCCGTGGCTTCCTTGATCGAATCAATTCATCATGTGACCAAAGTACGATAGCCTCAGTTAATCATTTTAGCTTCTAGGAAGAGTTCAGGTGTGATTTGATCTAGAAACCACTTATGGACTTTTTGGTGGTCCACGGTATCCTTAAAACTCTCCTCCAACACTACATTTTAAAGGAATCTACTTTCTTTCTGTCAGCTTTCTTAATTGTCCACCTTTCACACCCACACATAGTAATGGGGAACACTGTGGCACGAATTAACTTGATCTTGGTCACCAACAACACAACCTCTCATTTAAGGATCTTTTCTAGCTCCTTCATGGCTACCCTTCCCAGTTTAAATGTAAAGATCTGTAAATTAGGACCAAATGTCACTGCAAGTCTGTTATCTGTATGCATATGATGACAGGAGCTATGACACATGAAAACTTAGGCTGGAATACATTTTGTTGGGTTTTTAGGTGCCACTGGAAATCTGTTTTATTATTCTATTACCAAGCATTCAAAATAAACGTTGCCAATCTGTGACATGACATTACTTGGCATCCTAGTATTTACCACAAATAAATCTATAAGTACCTGCCTCCAATATTAGTACTGCTTCCGAGTCCTCCTCCAAATAATTTCCCTTATAAATAAAACCCGAATGGTGGTGGCACTTCTCTAGAACATTCCACATGCTCTGGAATTGGTTGGCGCCCTGGTGTGTCACTCAGAATCTGTCCCTATCCACTGGCTGCATTGTTTGAGTCTCGCTTCCAACATTCTAAACAGTTTGCTGTTTCTCTCCCCCCATAGACAGTAAGAACACAGAGGTTATTTGCATATGCAGCCTCATTGGCCTTTGCCTCGGAACACAGAGGTCGTTTGCATATGCGACTTGATTGGCTTTTGCCTCTAACGTTCTAAACAGTTTGCTGTTCTGAGGTAAAAAGTGTCCTATCTCGAGGTGAGGGCTGGAGATCACTCAGAATTACAATTGCTTTCCAGATGGCAGAGATCAGTTCCCCTGGAGAAAATGGTGGGCTCTGTATCCTTATATGCTGCTGAGGTGGCCCCCATATGACAGCCAATGTGACGTAGCAGTCAGGGCTTCAGAGCACGGGAGAGGCTGCAGGTGTGTGGGGGGTGGAAAGCTGAAGAGTGAGGGGGAAATAAAGGTAGGTTGATGATTGGCTGGGAAGGAGATAGGGTTGCCAACTCCAGGTGGGAAATTCCTGGAGATGTGAGGGATGGAGCCTGGAGAGGGTGAGGTTTCAGGAGGCGTGGGACCTCGGACAGGTACAAAGCCATAGACTCCACCCTCCAAACCAACCATTCCCTTCTGGGGAACCATTGTTTCCAATCTCCAGGTGAGGGCTGGAGATCACTCAAAATTACAACTGTTCTTTAGGTAGCAGAGATCAGTTCCTCTGGAGAAAATGGTGGACTCAGTGTCATTATACCCTGCTGAGGTCACCACAGCA